GTAATGTGATAAACCCCCACACACACCACGCAATAATACACCCATACGTCCGTACTGTACCCCACAGAAGTATACACCCATACGCCCCACATAATACTGTGCCAGCAACCTCGCGCCAGCTGCCGCTGCGGCGCAGGAGGTCGTCGTCCGCCTTGGGCCAGTCCTGGAGGTCGCCGACTGGGTTCGCCCCCGTGTACTGGATGTCCTTGCCAGCTCTAGACCTGACCGACTCGCCGCAGTTGCCCGCGGGGTCGTTGATGATGCTCCACAAGCACTCGAGATCATTGTCAATCATGTGGGTCAAGTGGAGGCTCTGAGCACTTGGGCCCTTGCCCTGTGGTCCGCTCTTCTGGGGCGCCAGAAGGACATTGCATTCGCCGAGCCCCATCTCGATCAGACCTGTGCTTCAGCCTCGCGACCCGCGCCTCAACCCTGCCGACCATCCGATGATGTGAATGCCACGTCCCACGGGTCGTGCGGCTGATGAAGTGAAACTCGCGCTGGCCGAACTCAGCCGCGCACAGCACAGCAAAGGGTCATAATCCATTTGCCACAGCCTTGTACAATTGGTCGCTTTTTGATGGGCGGCGCAAGCGTGGCCCGCCCCGAGGTGGCGCCGCGGCGGATGTGGCGGGCGGAGCGCCGACCCCACGACGCCGCAACGCCGCCTCGGAGTGCGCCGCGAGCTTGCCCGCCAAGAACGTTCTATACGCACGTCGTTCCTCCTCGATGCAACGTCGCCCACGTCGACGCCGCGCGCGGGCGGCATGATGGCGGCGGCTGCCTCGGCGAGGAGGACTGGCTGGACGGCCGGTTGGGCGAAGCGCCACTCAGCCGCAAATGTGGAGCCGAAATGGTTGGCGCGACAGAATGCGCACCTCTTCTCGCCACCTGGGAGATCATGCATTCCCCCGCGTTCGCCCGAAAGCCAAAGATTACGTTCGAATTGCTCCCAGCCATCCTGCGGTGGTGGGTCCTCGTTTTTGAAAAGACAGCGCCCCGCGTCTCTCCTCGCTCCTCCTCCTCCTCCTCCCCCTCCCTCCTTTCTCTGCCTTTGCTTTCCGCATGCCATCGTCATCATTGCCATCATCAACATCATCGCCATCCTCAGCAGAATCGTCATCATCATCGTCACCAGCATCATGATCACCATCCTCCTCACCATCATCATCATCATCATCATCATCATCATCATCATCATCATCATCATCATCATCATCATCATCGTCACCATCATCATCATCAGCATCATCATCATCATCATCAGCAGCAGCATCGCCATCATCATCATCGTCACCGTCGTGATCGTCATCGTCATCGTCGCCCCCATCCCAGGACACCCCTCTCGCGTTTCCGTTGTGGCCCCATTGGGAACTCCACCCAAGGCTCCAATGGCGCCGTTCGCGCGTGGGCGCCCTCCCCTTTTTCGCCGCACCCCTCGCGCGCACCGCGGCCCCATGTGGAGATTCAGCCACGGCCCCAGCGGCGCCGTTGGCACGTGGGCGTCGCCCCCGTTTCGGCACATCCCTCGCGCACTTCTTGGCCTCACAAGGAGCTCCAACTGAGGCCCCGATTGCACCGTTCGCGCGTGGGCGCCGCCCCCTTTGTCGGCACGCCCCGCACACGCTTCGCGGCCCAACAGGGAGCTCCAACTCAGGCGCGGCGGGCGTCACCCCTGTTTCGGCGCGCCCCTTGCGCGCTTTATGGCCCCGTAGTGGGCTTCAGCTAAGGCCCCGCTGGCGCCGTTCGCACGTGGGCGCCACCCCCGTTTCGGCAAACCCCTATCGCGCGTAACCCCATAGGGAGCTCCAGCTAAGGCCCCAGTGGCACCGTTCGCACGTGGGCGCCACGCCCGAAAAGGCACACCCCTCACACGTTTTGTGGCCCCATGTTGAGTTCCACCTGAGGCCCAAGCGGCACCGTTCGCGCGTGGGCGTCGCCCCCGTTTTGGCATGCCCTTCGCGCGTTTCGTCGTGGTCCCATAGGGAGCTCCAGCCATGGCCCAACTGGCACCGTTCGCATGTGGGCGCCTTCCTTTTGTTTGCACATATCCCTCCACCCAAAGCCTCAGCGGCACCGTTGGTACGTGGGCGTCGCCACCGTTTCGGCGCACCCCCCGCGCGTTTCGCGGCCCCATGGGGAGCTCCAACTGGACATGACTCACGCGTTTTGCGGCCCCTTTGGGAGCTCCAGCTAAAGCCCAGGCGGCGCCGCCATTCGCGTGTGGGCGACACCCCACGTTCGGCACATCCCTCACACAGTTCTTGGCCCCACAGCCCCACCACCAGGCCCAGTTGCGACTCTTTTTGTCCGGCGCGCCTCGCGCGCATTTCGTGTCGTCGCGGTCCACCTACGGCCCCAGTGGCGCAACCCGCGCATGGGCCACACTCCCGACCGCAGGGAGCTCCACCAAAGGCCCCAGCGGCACAGCCCGCATGCGGGCGTTGCCCCATGGGGAGTTTCACATCAGGTCGTAATCATAATTGCGGCACTGACAAGTGCACGTGGTTGGGTTCTTCGCTTGGCTTCAGATTTGCTGGGGCCGGGTCCCGGGCATTGTAAAGCATGGGGCGATTGCAAAGCACGCAGACAATTAAGAACCACTGGACATGGGACTCTCGCGCTTCAAAAGCTGCAGGACTTACCAACGCATGAGTGTGCGATGATGAATTCACGATTGCGTTAAAGCGTATGTGTGCGGGCGCGTGGTTGCGCGATTGCGTGGGCGCGCGTGGGGTCCTGGCGAAAACGATGATGCGTAATGGGGGCGGAAATGTTGATGGCGGAGTGGGTGCCCATGCGCGCTTGAGGATGATGAGCGGTTCATGGCGGCGGTGGCGTTGACGGCGGCTGGCGACGACGCCCGGTGGCGTTCGTGGGCACCGCCGCGGACCAGCCCGGGAAAAAACGCGCGCACATTGCGCCGCTAGCGTTCGCGCAACGCCACACAATGTGTTCCAAGCTCGAGAACTGAATGGCGAAAACAAGTTCAACCTTCTCTCTTTGCCCGCGGACCTTGCGCGCGCGTGCGTCGCATGCGGTAATTTACTGTATAAACATGCGGCACTGTCAAGACATAGATGTTCTAAATATAGATGTGCGCACTGAAACTGATATAATGCGGAAATGTGAACATATATACACCTAATCACACACATGCTTCGTTAGCTATATATAGTCATACAAGGATGTGAAAGGATGCATGTATGCATCTGTACGTATACGCGCACGTGTGCATATGTTTGCACGTATGCGTATACATGTATACATGTGTACATAAATATATTAATCTAGAGGGTTGCGTGTCTTTTCTTGATCAGATATTGATGCGAAATCAGCATAGGTGATTGGCCTTTATCTTTTGCGGCCACAGCCTCCGAGCATACAAATGAAGCGCGTGGTTTTCACCGTTCAGTTTCTTGAAGTTGAATTACGTCTGCCCGCGGGGGCTACCCCTTCGAACCGATGTTGGAAGGATGTTGGAGAGAAAGGCGTGGTGGGGGGGCGCGGCGTTCGCGGAATCCTAGGAATGGACATCCGCGCGCGCGGACGTGGGTTCCGGGCGCCGATTCCAAGAACGCCCGCCTTCAACGCCCAAAATGGACGCGCGCCCAAAATAAAAACAAGTATGGCCCAAATATTTAATTCATATTAAAGCATATAAGTCGCCGTCGTGGTGGCTGCATTAGAGCGTGGACTTTAAAATTTCAATGCGTGCGAGAAAGACGAGACCCGCGCGGTCGCCGCCAGGCGCGCCGATGGGCCACGCGGCTCTTGCTGGGAAGCGACCAGCTTGCCCCGGATGCCGCAGGCGCGCTCCAGGCTGTGCTGGCTGGCGACGTGGTCGTTGAGTCGGTGGCGGCCAAGTGGGTAGAACTTGCGCGTGAGGACCGACATCGCCATCTCTGGGAGTGCCTCTGTTGCTCAGCCACGCGGCAATCAACGCTCGCTGCCGCCGGGGATTGGGCCCTTGCCCTCTTGACCCGCTTGCCGCGCAGCGTCGCGAACTTTGGAGTCCTCCCGCGGGGCCCCGTGCTGGCGGCGTTCGCCGCCGCCGCCAGCGCATCGCTGCCCGCGCCCGCGCTGCCGGCGCCCGCGATGCCCTGGGACTCACAGCAGCGCGCGAGCACCCGCAGGGCCCGTTGCTCACCCGCGCTGGATCGGGCTTGCGGCTAGAGCGCCTCGGTTTGCCCTTCGATGACCGTTCGGGCCTGGGCGACGTCGAGGGGACGGCGCCGCGCGGGCCAAAGTGCGGCGGGGTGCCTGTGCCCGGTTGAGATCACCACCGATTTGCATGTCGTTCGTAACGGCGTGGTGGACCTCCGCGAAGTGGCAGCGCGCAGACCTTTGGACACTGCTCGCGCCCCACTGCCAATCCAGTCAAGTCGCACTTCGACGAAGAGTCGGCGGCGCGGCGCGACATGCCCGAGGGGGGCCGGCCCGACGACAGCAACAATTTACAGTAGGAAGCAGAAAGCAGGACTGCAACATGGGAGACTTGAAACTGGAACTGGTGCAGGGAGCATGAAAGCCTAATCTTCGCAGCCTGATGGCCCCGCAAGGGGGCTGGCGCATTCTCTGCTGATCCCCGTGTGCAGAACATTCAGGGGATGGCGGGTGTGGCCCGCTCCTCTGGCCCAGCCTTGTTTTTATGGCGTGGACGTCGAAGGGAACAAAACGAAGAAGAGGAGAAGGGAGAGGAAGAGGAAGCAGAGAGGGAAGGCGAGGAAGTAAGCAAGAGGATACGAGCGGGGCTGCGGATTCAAGGCGAGGGCCCTACAAAACAGGAGAGGTGGCGTCCGGCAGGCCAAATAAACATGCAAATCGCCCCAGGGCATTCTGGAACGCTCTGGAACAGCCGCTGGACCTGATGCATCCTCCAGGTTTGCCGGTTCTCAGAGATTCCCGATTGACCTGCATCCCTACATTCGGCCCTTAGCCCGCCGTCGTCTCAGTTCTGGGCCTCCCCCGTGCGCGGGGTTCCGCACGCGCCTGGGCAGGAACAGCCACCCCAGGGCCGCTTCGCGGCGCTGGGCGCACCGGCAGGCCTGGCAGGCCCGTCGTCGCGACGCTGCCGCCGACGTCTTTGTCGTTGTCTTTCGAAGCCTGGGGATCGAGGATCGAAGTTTGGGGCGAACGGGGGAGTTCTGGGAACGTCGCCGCCGCCGCCGTCGTCGCTTGGATCGTCGTCTTTCGAAGTCTGGGGATCGAGGGTCGAAGTTTGGGGCGGAGGGGGGAGGACGTCGTGATGAATTGAACTACGCACCACCGTGGACCCCTATGGGACCTGCATGCCTCTGAGGTGCGCTGTCGCAGAAGGCTTTCGTGCTGCGCGACCTTTGGAGAAGCCCAAAGCCGTGCTCAGAAGGGTCCTCTTTGGGACGTTTGAGGGCGTCCTGGGGGCTTCTTGGGCCCTCTGAGACAGTCTTGCTCATAGCTGTCAGAGGCCATCTGGGGGCCCAGCTTGACCAGCCTGCGCGATGTTGGAGGCCATGTGCGGCCTTTTTGGGGCCATCGCGAGGCTGCTTACGTAGAGGATGTGGGATATCCGGCAGCCCCCTCACAACCAGGAAACAACTCGCGGCTTGAGTGCAGGGAGGAGATTCAGTCACGGGGGGGAGGGGAGGGGAAGGAGGGGGCATTTCTTGGATTTGGTCAGGGAAAGAGAGAGGGTCGAAGACCACAAAACGACGTGAATGCGCAAGGTCGGCTTTCGGAGGTCCTCGCGGATTTCTTTGTCACTCGGGTCGGCGCTGCCCCCCTCCCTCCCCGCACCCCTTCGCGGCGCCTGGCGAGCTCCGAGGTGTGGCGAGGGAGGGGGAGGGCTCATGACTCGGTTCCCGAGAAACCCGCGCGGACCTCCGAAGATCGTTTCTGCTCGTGCCGCTTGTTTGTGTTGTCTCTTTTCGGGCAGCGGGAAGCGTTCGAGGCCGAGCATGCCCCCCCCCCCCCCGGGCAGGCACTTGGGGCAGCGCCCCTGGAGTGCTCGCGGCGCCCAGGCCTGGCGGCCAGGCGATGGGGGGGAGGAGGAGCGGGAGGAGGTCCGGGAGCCAGGAGCCAAGAAATCTCTTCATACTCCTCTCGCGTCGCGTAAAGAAACACGATGGAGGGTATTTGGCCAACTGTCGGTCTCTGGCGGGCCCTTTCCGTGACTTGGGGGGAGAGAGGAAGAGAGGGGAAGCATTCAGAGTTCTTTTCTCCCCCTCCTCCTTTTACTTCTTTGTGTGCTAGAGAGAGAGAGAGAGAGAGAGAGAGAGAGAGAGAGAAAGAGAGAGATAGGGACAGGCAGGGAGTGACTGGGAGGGAGAGAGAGAGAGAGAGGGAAAGAGAGAGCGACGGGGAGAGAGAACGCACTAAACAATAAACAATAGCAAGACGCAGAGAGGGAGAGTGAGAGAGAGAGGGCTTGCTTCGTCGTGGAGGAGGAGGGCCCCAGAGCCTCTGGGAACTTCTCCCAGGCTCCTCTCTCTCGCCTCTCTTCCCTTGTCATGCTCTGTGCACATGTATGTTCGGATCCATCCTCTCCCCCATCATCAGCTTCGCTACCATCCGAAGCCTCAACATCTTCCACATCCTTCATCATTCCTAGTATTCCACCGCTCCATGTCTCCTTTCTACCCGTCCTCATTGCCCTCCTCCTCCTCTTCCTCGTCCCCCTCTCCTCTCAGATCCCCTCTCAGGCTCCTTGCTTTGCCAGGGATCAGCGAGATGCAATGGGTGTATACCTTAAGTATTGACGCTTCGCGTTTCCCACCAGCCCATCTATAAAGGATGTCCATGAGAGCAAACGTGGGGAGAGAGTAAGAGACACGCATCGTCAAACAGCGAGGGAGGCTTGCCTGGACGGCGTGTTGGGGCCATCGCCGGCTTCCTGGGGAGGCTCCGTGGCCATCTCGAGCCAGCCGTTTTGGAGCGGTCTTGGGGCCTCTTGGAGCATCTTGGGAGCCATCTTGAGCCAGCTTCTGCTATCTTGAGCCATCTTGGAGGTCATCGTGGGCTCTCTGAGGCCGCTCGGGGGCCTCTTGGGGGCCTCGGGAACCCTGGAGGGCCTCTTGGGGCTTGGAGGCGGTTGGTCAAAAGAGGGGGGGTACTCGACGTTCGTCCCCCACTCGGGGGCCACGATCTTCGTGAGGGATGTCAAACATTGGCCCTCCCACTGACCGAAAGAGGGGCCGCCGACCCCTCGCGACACCTTCCCAAAAACCTCAGGGAGGGGAGAGGGAGGGTTCCCCTCCCCGAAGGGAAGATGGGGTTGTGGAAAAGGGCAGAGACCCTCCTTAGACCACCTGTCGCCCAGAGGGCTGGTGGGATTCCCTTTTGTGGTGGATTCCACACTGATATCTTGCGCGGCGCCTTACAAGAGGCGGATCACGCATGTATTTTCTGTGAGGCTGATGTTACGCATGTTCATATTGCAGCGGCCTTGCACACAGGTTCCACATGGTGGGATCGATACTGATACTTTTTGATCATGATTCGCCATCTTTTAGTTTTGTGACTGCCATGCAAAAAAGTCTTTCAAATGCAGCGCCCTCCACGTCCTCCTCCAATCCGCCGCTTCTTCCTCTTCAAGGAAAGCTTTTGGAAACACGTGAACGTAAGCCTTGCGCTGGACGGCGCGAGAGCAGGGTGAAACAGGAAAAACGCAGTCTCAAAAACAGCTCTTCCGACTCCCACGAAGCCGCTGCTCTGCCGTCGCGACAGAAGAACGCAGACAAGGCCTCCCGGGAAGTTGCAACGGCCTTGCGGTGTGACTAAGGATGTTATATCAATTGTTAGGGTTGTCTGAACAGGAGCATTGCAGACACATGCGCTAACTTGTTTTGATGACTGTTCATCGTAAGGCTTAAAGGGGTATCGGTGACGCGCACCGAGAACATTCAGATGTTTAGGATGTTGGGGGAAGCGCAGCAGAGGGTGAGGATGCGGGCGAGGCGAAAGGCGGTTCTTAACGTATAAACTTTTGACAGATGATTATCCCGTGTGTTCTGACACGGTTTCTTCACGGAATCAGCCAGGTACTTTGCAAAGGCACAGGCCACGAGTACGAGTGATGTGCTCGATTGTTGTTTTGAAGAAAATTGTGGCACCACGCAGAACCATGCTATTCATATTGTTAGGCAAAGCGCAGTGGGTTGTGAGGAGGATGGCGAAGTGGCACTGCGTTGCGCCATGTATCGTGCGTGGCACACGTAGCGACCATCGAGGAGGCAGGGCAGCCCATGGTGTACGTGAGCGAGCCTGCTAAGGAGGGATTGCCATCAGAAGTTTTCGGTGGCTCAGAGCAATCTCTCCGGGAGGTGAGGGTCATCCTCGGCCTCGACAGGAAGGCCACCTCGTAGGAGGTTTGTTCAGCCCCACATGTGCGTTCGGCTGGCCTGGCCAAAAGGTAGTCGAACAGACGTGCTGGTTGGCGCATGGTCGCGCATCCGGACCCAAAGCTCATGGATGAAGTCTCCGCAGTTCAACGGGACGAGGGTGCTGGAGCAGAAATCGGCTGGGACACAACAGGGAGCCCCCACCATAGGTCCGAGAACAGCAAGGCTGAGAAGCCCGCTGTAGAGAATGATGTGGCTACGGACGGAAACCATTTCTTGGCCAACAAGTTCTCAGGCGGTTCGGATCAGTATTCAGAAGCGAGCGCGAAGGCAGTAAGGGCTTGGGCCATAGACCATTTCGCGCTCGCCGAGGACATTTCCAAAGTCTTGCAGTGCCTGGAGAGCAAGATCGCCAAACTGGAGGCCAAGCTGGACAGCTTCACAGCCGCCCACGAGGAGCATCACAACAATCTCCAGCACCTGAGCTGCCAGCTGCAGAAGGTGGAGTCCAGCGCTGACACCTTCGAGGACACTGTATCCCACATAGCGGCGTTGGAGGTACACAAGCTCAGCTTCGACTGCTTCGAGACCCAGCCGGAGAACATGTCCAGTCCATACGAATACCTGGAACAGCGGATTGCTAATCTCGGCCATAACGCCAGCGGGGACAATGCACATACCGCTTCGAGCGGTTCGGGGTCAGCGGCTAAACGAACATGGCAAGATTTCACGCGGTTGTCTTCTCTAAGGTTAGATGGCGAAGTTGGCAGCGAGTGAACATGTTCATAGTCGGAGGTCACGTCGATTGGAAGAGGAGCGACTGCAAAGGAAGCTGGAAAGGAACCTTGCGCGACAGGAGTGCTTCAGATCGCATCAGCGCTTGAGGCGGTTGTTGCAGCGATGTCTCGTCGGAGCGCTCTCGGGGGCTTCTTCGGGGCAGTTTTGGGGGGCTCTTGGGAGCCATTTGGGGGGCTCGTGGGAGCCTCTTGGGGGCCTCTTTGGGCTTCCTGGGGGCGTGCCTCTTGGAGGACTCTTGGAGGCCTCTTGGGGGCCAGGAAACCAGGCGCCCGGGCCCTTCAGAATCTAGAGTCTTGCCTGCATCAGCACAGTTGTGAGCCTTGGGCCACTCAATTTCGTGCCAAGGGCACGGTGGCGGATATGGTCACACACATACATGCATGCATGTGTACAAACATATATGCATGTGTGTGTGCTCACAGACTGCTCGGCTCACCATTTGTACTTCGGAACAGGAGTCATGGAAGACTCGCGCGACGGAAGCGTGTTTTGCGACCGTGTCCCCCCTTCACCTGATGTTCAACCTCATGCCAGGCGGCCATCACGATATCCCGTCCTAGGTAGCGTCCGCCGTTTCTTAGGGATGCAGTAATTCCACGCTTGTTGATGTTATGCTAGAGGGTGGTCCATCTGGTAAATTCGCAGAAATGAGAAGCGCCCCATTCCTGTGCCAGTGGTCGCATGGTTCAAAAACAGCAGCTGGCTTAAATTGTTCGTGATTTGTGTCCAGTTCATTCCCTCGAACTTATCCTCGTCTGCCCTCCTCCCACTCTCCAGGCTTGTGATTCCCTCCTGAACCCTGCCGCTTGCCCCCTCTCCCCTACTGCTCGCCTTCGCATGCCCCCTTTTCTTTTCCGCGGGGTTCCCCCCTTGTTGTTTTATGCGCACGCCGCCCCCTCCCCACAGTACAACGCGCAGCCGCAGCCAGCGGCGCCGCATGGCACATCTGGCCACGCAGGTCACGGCGTGGGGGGCGCCGCGCCCTTGGGTTCGTTTATGTTGTTGTTGTTGTTGTTGCTCTTGGTGTTGCTGCTGTGTTCTCCTCGTCCTCTGTCCTCAGTCTCCGCCTCCTGCTCCTCCCCCCTCCGACATCTCACGTGTTGAGAGGACCGCAGCGGCTTCAAGCATCTCGGCGGGAGCTCCTGACCCCATTCTTGCGAGCGGGATCTCTCGCGTAGGAGGGAGCCTCGAGGGCCCTGGATCCTAGAGCGGGGCAGAATCACCCGTCGTGATCTTCAAGGGTCCTGCCGCTTCTCGTCTATCCATTCTTGGCTCACCGAGCTCGCCTCTGTGGGCACCTGCGCCCTTCGCCAGGGTCACGGGTCCTGCGCGGCCCTCCCCCCTGTGGCTGTTGGCTTGGACGAGCCAGGAGGTTGCTTGCAGAAGGACTCCGTGGCCCAAGGGCCGGTTGCGCGCAAGAGTGGCCTTTCGCTGGACTGGACTTGCGTGCTGGCCACGGGTGCCGCACCCCAAGCACCGGCTTGCGCGCTTGCATCGGCCACCCGCCCTCAGGCGCGCAATGCCGTGCGACACAAGTCACTCTTGCCCAGGGTCGCTCCTGCGGGAAGCCGAATGATGCCCCCACCAGGCAAACCAGACGGAGTCGACTGCGCAAGGCCGCGCGCAAGCGCCCTCGCTTATGCGTTGTCTGCGGCGCTTGGCGGCCCGGGTAAACGAAAGGTCACGGTGTGTCCTCGCGCGATGCCCTTTCCTTCTTTCGTCGCTCGGGTGGATGCGCACCCCACGAGGACCTGAGCAAAGCAGGGGACACCACGGGCAAGGAGCACCAATGTCAACACCCGAGTGTGGGAGGAGCAGAGCGAAACAGAGCGGGAGAACGAGAGAGAGAGAGAGAAGGAGAGAGACCGAGATGATAGACGGGCAGAGGCAGAGACAGAGGCTTATACAGTTATCTGGGCGAACGGCCCCATCGGATAATTTCATGTTGTCGTGACTGCTGCGCTTGTGAATATCGCGTTCAGTGGAGTTCCCTGTGGGGCCACGAAACTTGTGAGGAGTGTGCCGACATTGGCCTCGCGGCGCTTGCTGGCCCTGTCATTGGGGCCTCTGGTGGAATTCCTCATCGGGCCACAAAGCGTGCGAGGGGTGTTCCAGAATGGGCCTTGGGAGCGCTTAGGGGCGCTGCCATAGGGGCCTTCGGTGGAACTCCCTATGGGGCCACGAAACGCGTGAGGGGTGTGCCCGAATGGGCCTGGGCGCGCGTGCGGGCGCTGCCACTTTCGGCTTGGGTGGAGCTCCCGGGGCCACGAAGTATGTGAGGGGTGTGCCGCAAAGGGCCTGGGAGCGCATGCGGGCGCTGTCACTGGGCCCCAGTGGGAGCTCCCGATGGGGCCACGAAGCGCGTGAGGGTACGCCGGAATGGGTTTGGGAACCGCATGCGGTTCCCCTTGCGGCCTTGGTTGGAGCTCCCTATGGGGCTACGAGGCGTGTGATGGGTGTACCAAAATGGGTGCGGGACCGCATGTAGTCCCCCCTCCCCTGGGCCTCAGTTGGAGCTCTCAATTGGGCCGCGAAGCGCGAGAGGGGTGCGCCGAAAAGGGCGGGGGACCACATGCGGTCTCTCCCCCCCTGGCCTCAGTTGGGGCTTCTTTGGGGGCTACGAAGCGTGAGACCGGTGTGCCGATAGGGACAGAGGCAGGGATGTGAGTCACGGCAGTGTCGCGCCGTGCCGATGCGGCAGCGACCCAGTACCCCCAGTGCCAGTGGCTCGGAATCGGCCGTCATTGAACGACCCGTGCCATCAGGAAGCCGCGATCGTTTCAGAATTAAGCAACTCATGTGGTGTCAGAAACCATTGCCGCAATCATACTCAGATGTTTGTGTCGTGCTGGTCTGATCCGTTCCATAACCGCTGTTGCTCCGCAGTATTTCAAGCACGAACAAACAAGGCGGCCGCTTCATGCCGCGGGCGCTCGTCGCCTCCGCTGCCGCGCGGCCTCGGCCAGCGGGCCCTCTCTGAGCGCGGCTGGTCGACGCTGGAGGACACGCTCAGGAACGCCACTGAGTGCGACGTGGCCTTGCAGCTGCTGGGAGAGTACACGGCAGTGGCGGGTCGGGATCCGAGCGAGAGCGTTGTGGCGCATGAGCGCCTCTGTTGCATGGTGACGCCAGACGGAGCTGACGGACCAGGCCCTTCGCATCGTGGTGCCGCAAGACACGACCGATCTTCGGCAGCTGCCGAACCGCGATGGGGAGCAACCCAGTGAGGCTCGGCGTCCACGGGTAGTACTGGAGTTTGACTCCCGCCGAGAGCTGCCTCCAGATGCGGTCTGCTATGGGACGCTCGCTCGACAAAGTGGTCGCCCGTGGGCCCACGGCCCCGCCGCCAGTAGCAGAGTGCGAGGAGGAAGTGCCAGCCCTGGGCCCCCGCGGCGGCCTACAGGGAACTGCGCGGGTGTTCTCCCAGGTACGACATGAGCCCAGCGAAGTCAGTCTCCTGTTCACCGACGGGAGCGTTGCGGTGCATTCGGATTTGAGAAAGTGCGACCCCGCCTACTTGTTTTTCGGAGTCCGTTCGCGACTTGTGGCAGGATTGGGATTCGCATTTCTTGCGCCCTCGTCATGAGTGGCTTGCCAATGTATCGCCCCACTTCGACGCCGAGCTCAAGGGTTCGACGAGCCTGTATGTTGGTTCTCTGCATGATTTATTCGAGACTGGCATGATTTACTCCACCTCGGAGCGGAAGCACACGCTGGCGCCGTTTTTCGTGGCCAAGCGCAATTGGGGCGGCAAGCAGCGGATGGCCCTGGACGCGCGCAGGGTGAACCGCGAGTTCTACGACCCCGGCGTCGCCGAGTTGCCGGCGGCATGAAGTTGGCAGAGTCTCCGACTCGAGGCCGAGAGCAGCCTGTACCTCGGACAGCGTGACATCGAGGCCGCGTTATATCGGTTCTTCGCGCCTGCTGGGCCCAGTGAGTTAATGGTTCTGCCAAGTATCGATAGAGTCGATGATATAATATCTCGCAAATGTTCGCCGTGTCTGGGAGTTTCACCGATGGGATGGAGCTGGAGTTTTTTTCCCTGCCAGCCCGCCGCCGAGGGCATGTTGAGGTCCGTTGGATTCGGCGACGCCAAGCTCGCGCACGATAGGAAGGTGATCCCCGACCTGGCGAACGGTCCTGCGGCAGCTGCCTACGCCGACGGGGTCGCGGCGATGCGCACCCAGCACGACGAGGTCGTCGACCAGCACGGGGCCTTCAACGACAGCGGCTTGAAGTGCAAGGATATGGAGCTGCCGAGCCAGGAGCAGAAGCTCACGCGCTTGATCTTCGACCGCGACCTGGGGCGCATATCCCTGGGACGCTCGCGGATGTGGAGGATCCGCCAGGCGCTGCTATGCCGGGCGTCGCAGCAGTTCGCATCGGGCTCCGACCTCTCCAACCTCGTCGGCCATTTCAACTGGGCCGCTCTATTGCGTCGGCCCTTCCTCTGCATCTTCCAGAGCGCGTATCGCTTCATCAAGAACGCGGGTGACAACCACTGAGGACTGTGGCCCGATGTCGCACGAGAGCTTCGAGTGGCTGCGGCGCTGGCGCCCTTCGCCAACTACGACGCCAAGAGGCCCGTCGACGCGATGGTCTACTCCACCGGCGCCAACACGGGCGACATCGACCCGAAGGACAGCCTGTTCGGCGGCTACGGGGCCACGCAGCGCGAGGCCGAGACCCCACTGATCGAGTCCGCTCGAGTACGAAAGCGCTGGAGGTGCCGGGTCGAGGGGACTATCAACGCTCGGGACTTCGCCTTCGCCAACCGCGACGCCCCCGCTGGGGGGCACACGTCGTTCGCCACCGTCAGCTCTGAGCTCGTCTTCCCGATGGGCTCTTGGAGGAACGTGACCTGCGGCCGCTGGGGCCGCGAGGGGGGTATCCGGAGGCTGGAGGGGCGCGCGCTGTCGTTGGGCATCCGCCACAAGATGCGAGCTTTGCGATCGAGGGGGCACCTGCACCTCATGCTGAATGACAATATGTCCCTGATGCTCGGAGTTGAAGAGAGCCGATCGCCGTTGCCGCTGATCAATCAGACGTGCCGAGAGATTTGCAGCTACAGTGTCGTGCGTGAAATTTCCGCAGCCGCGCGATGGCTACCATCAGAGTGGAACACATCCGACAAGGGTTCCTGCACCGCGACAGGAGCTCCAGCTCCATTCGCAGCCGACCCTCGCAATGTCGGCACGGCCTGGGCCAGCCTCGCGCGAGCGGCCGCTGTCGAGAAGGCGGGGCGCGACGACTGCGACCACCCCGTCAACCTTCTGCGTCGGCGGCGGCGCGACCTCTGCGAGCCCGACGCCCAGGCCGATGCCGATGCTTCGACCTCGCCGGGCTCGGGCGGCTCCGAAGGCAGTCAGGGCCACCCGACCCCTGCCGACTGCGAGCGTTGGGGCCCCTCCTCCAGCTCGAGCGAGGGCAGCAGGCCGCGCGGGGCTGGCGCGCCAGAAGGCCAATCGGGCGAAGCTGAGAACGGCGAAGCGCGGCGCCATCAACTGCGACCCTCGGTGTAGGCTGACCTTCTTCCAGAGGCACAAGGCGCGCGCCGCCCCGAACAGCAGCTTCGACAAGCACGTGGCCAGCTTTTTCGAGCGCGCCAAGGCGCCCTCGCTGGGGGCCTTCACGGCGGACCGCCTGCACCCCTGGCGGGCTCCTTGGGTGAGCGATTCTGGGGCGGCGAGCCGTCGGAGACGGGGTCGCGGCCGCTGGCGCCCGCGCCATCGCGCTGTAGAGCGCGCTCCAGGAGCACGCCGGCGACGCCCGTCGGCAAGCCGATCGCGTGGACCATGATCGGGGCCGCCGTGCTGGAGGGCGACTTCACGTGGGCAGGGGCTCTGGTGCTAGCCTGGGGCGGCATGATCCGCCTGCCGAGATACCTCGTCAACGAGTGGACCGAGGCGCTGGTGGGACTAGGCCGCGACGCTGCGCCTCGCCGGGCATTGTTGCTGCACCTGATCGAGGATTCGTCGCGCAGCAAGACGCTCGCGCAGGACGAGGGCGCCCTGCTGCAGGGCGCGCAGGGGCGCCCGACATGATTCCGCGCCAGCAGCGGCGCCCCGCGGCGTCGCAGGCGGCATCTGTCGAACGCGTGGGCCTCGAGGAGTTGCAGGCGCGCCTTCGCCGCGTCGGCGCGCAGAGCACCGCGCGGCACCCGCGCCGCGTGCTATGTGCCTCGGGGCTCGAGAAGATCGACGAGCGCGCGGTGGTCTGGTCCGAGCTGGTGGGGGCCGACATCGCGCCTATCCTCGGGAAGCAGGGGCGGCCGCCGCTGCCGTGCTTCCTGGCGTGGAGGCCGCTGCTGTCGAAGCTGCCCTGCGCGGCCTCGCCCGCGCCTGCCGCGCGGCGCCTGGGCAGACGCTGCTCGCGGTCGGCTTCTGGCGAGGCGAAGTTGCTCGAGCCGATGACTTCTCGAGCTTCGAGCACGGTGCGTGGATGCGTGGGTTGTCGGTGGCTGACGCCCGTGTGCGCCGCCGTCTTGCGGGCTGGATCTCCTCGCGGCGCGTTCGCGGGGTCGTCTTGGCGCGGCCGGGATTCGGCGAGGATGCCTCCAGTAACGCGTTAGCCCGACTGATTCACAAGCGTCTAAGTCTCCGTTGCCCATGTTTAGCGATTTTCCCGTCCACTAGCGCCGACGCGCGATCCCTTGCGTTTCAACATCTCGCGAACATTTGCGATGGGAGACGCCGCGTCGCGTCGCCCTGTAGGTTCGGATGTCGAGCGGACCACGACAACCTGTGGGCCTTCGGTTTTTCGCGCGGCTTTCCCGCGGACGACGGCGGCCCTTGCGGGCGCGACGCGGTCGGCCCGCCGAGCAAAACCTTTTGCGCGCGTTTCTCCTAGCCCTTTGCAAAGTGGCTCTGCTCGTGGATCTCTCTGGCAACCTCTAGGGTCTCCGACAGCTGTCACAGCGAATTGTTTTTGGCATGAAGCGGCCAGGCGCCAGGTAGGGCAGTGTGGGGTCGTTTTGGCGCGGTCGAGGCGCCGCTCAGATAGCTCGGAGTTCGAGCTTGCACGCGACAGAATCGTTCGCGCCGCGCCGCTGTAAAGATGTCTGGACATTGTCGGGGGGGCGTCTCAGACCTACTCAGATGTTTGCGTCGCGCTGGTCTGATCCGTTCCATGGCCGTTGCTGCTGAGCAGCATTTCAAGCGCGCCCGCCCTCGTGACCCCCTGGTGCTTTAATTCAATATATCTTTGTTTCAGGGGTCGTTGTGGCGCTGTCGAGGCGCCGCTCAGATAGCGCGAAGCTCGCGCTTGTTCACGTCAGGATCGTTCGCGCAGCTCCGTTGTAAAGATGCCTGGCCATTGTCTGGGGGGATCTCAGACATCATCATCATCATGAACATCATCAACACCAACATCATCACCACCACCATCATCATAATCAGTATTACTTAGTAGTTTTCACCACTACTGTTAATAAGTTTATTGTTTTCGTGCGGGTAGTATTAGTATTCGCGTTTGCATTCGTATTCGTATTTTCGTCAGTATCGTTAGTGGCACTGTTCTTACTTATATTTCCCATATCGTTATTATCCTTCATGCTATTGTTTCGTGGTTCTTATTTGTATACTTACTAATCGTAGTACCATACTAGTATTGTTATTATCCTTGTCGTCGTCATCGGCAGGACGACGCGACCTTGCCGTAGGTGACGTGGGTGGCAGTCGAAAAGGGGCGCAGCGAATATCATGTACTAGTTTGTGTTTCTCGTCGCGTAATATGTGCCAAAGGTGTTGGGGCAACCTCCGAGCGGCTGTCCGCCAGAGTTGACCTGCCTTAAACAGATGCCACGAAGGTCTCGTGCCTAGATCTCTGGCGTAATTTTGTTTTTCCAGAGCTTATGTCTCCAAGGCCACTGATCGAGCCCCGAGGTCAACCAGAAAACAACCCCGACAAAAAAACTGGTCCCAGCGAAGGGCCGAGAATTCGTAGGCCCCGTAATTGAAAAAATGTCGGAAGCTCGCGTGCGCATGTTTCTGAGCTTATAGGGGAGTCAGAAGCATCAGACAGCAGTTGTTTCAAGCGCTGGTTCGGGTGATTCTCCGTAGCGTGATGAATGGCGGATGGGTCCGAATTTGGTTGTCCGAGTGGGGGGGCACAGAATTCCGTGCCGGTCCAGGTCCGCGATCGCCGTCCTTGGCGCCACTCCTTGCAACGCCTCGCTCCTGCGGGTGTCCCTGTGCCAGAGGGCCTCGGCCCTCCAAAATAGCCGAGGTGGCAGAGCTGGAGCGGCGATGCCGCAGCTCCCTACGAAGGCCGCGCGCGCGGCCCCCCTCATCCGGGGCAGGACGGGTGTTCCCAGCCGTGCCTTTCCTCACCGCTTCCCAGGTCACCCCCAGGGGCGCGAAGGTAATCGCGCGCCGCATGTTGCGGCCTGTGGCGGGACAGCTTCTCTTGTCCAGGGAACGGCACGGGGGCGCGAAGGTCACTGCGGGTGTCGAGCATCGCGGGCCGCGCTGCGCGATGCCAGGCGGCCCGTGCCCCCTGCATTTTTCGTGCCCGTTTTCTTTTTTGCAGGGTGGCCAGGGGTGGGCCGGGCCGTGTCCAAGGCGGCCCCGGCTGCCCGTGCCCTGGGCCGCTGGGTCCACCGACGGGCGGTCCAGGGGCCCTGTGGCGTGAATGCCGCCAGTCGCCGCCAATCAAGCGAGCGCCCAGCCCCGTCCAGGCCTGAGTGACACCAGCGCCAGTTGCCACCGCTGCCCCCTCCTTGGCCCGAGTTCATAGCCCAAGCCTGTGCCTGTTCTGCCCCCCATCCTCTACCCCTTCGCCCGCTTCCCCTTCCTCGTCCACAACCCGCAGCCTTTCCCTTCCTCCATTCCTCCTCATCCTGACACACGTGAGTCCCATGAGTCATTTTCCTTCGTCTCGTGTTGCAGGTGAATGGTCGGGCGGGTTTCCGTTCGATAGCTTGCCACGTCGGGTGGGACACCGTTCGACGAGGCAACGCGGGACAGGATGAGCAGAGGTGAGCAGTGTTGTAGTGTGGATCACGTTGTACACATATTTTGTATCCCCCCGAACTCCACTAGAACGTAGGTTTCCCCTCCGAAATGCGCAACGCCGGTGCAAACAAGTCGGTTGGTGCGAGCGGCCTGCCGGTGCGTCTACGGAACCTGCTCGGGCGAAAAGGCGTGCGAATGCACGCGCTGGCGAATATAAACGCGTTTGTTTTGTTGTTGTGTTTTATGTTGTTGTTGTTGTTGTTGTTGTTGTTGCTGCTGCTGCTGCTGCTGCTGCTGCTGCTGCTGCTGCTGTTGTTGTTGTTGTTGTTGTTGTTGTTGTTGTTGTTGTTGTTGTTGTTGTTGTTGTTGTTGTTGTTGTTTTTGTTGTTTCTCTCTCTCTCTCTTTCTCTCGCCTCACGTTCCCCCCAATAGTGTTAGAATGTTGTATAATCCATGTTCTTTGCAACGCACTCGCTGCGAACAAGCCATAGAGCAGGACAGACAAGGCATCCGTTGCTACCTTGGTTCAAAGCACGGAACACGTCGTTGGGCGCACGCTGAGAAACAGTTTTCGCATCCTTTCTTTCGTCACCACGGCCATTGTCACATTGAGGCACAATTCGCGCGATGTCAGATAATTCGTTTCTCGTCGCAGTGACAAGGGTCATGAGCCCAACGCCGAATGAGGGATTACTGGTTTGATTACACGCGAACAGCCAGAGGTGCAATGGACAAGTGTACGAGCCCCCGCTGTGCACGCAGTGTGGTGCGTACGGCCATCCACAATGCATCAATTCGGAGCGATACCAAGTGTATTCATTATGTGGGACTTGCGTGGTTGGTGTGTTTTACAGCAGTACGTCTACGAGAGCAGCCTACGACATGAACGGAGGACGCGTTCCTTGGCTGACCAGCTCACCACCTGGCGAAACCAGGCCACTGAAACGCTTGGTCTTTCAGCGTCCGTTGGGGTGGCAATCGGGGGCGCGACGGCGACCGCTACAGGTGCAGTGGTTTCGCTTGTGCGCGGAATGGTGCGGGGGCCGTGGCAAGAGATACTCCAGCAGAGCTTCCGGCCTTTCCAACCCGTGAACCACCAACCGAACCGACTTTCGCTTCAGGACAACGCCTTGCCTGCGAGCTTCTCGGGCCGAAGCGAACCGCAAGGCGTGCCTGGTCTTTCGACCGCTTCACGGGTGGCCACTCCTTGGCGCGCCACGCGTCCAACCCAAGCCGCGTACGACATCATCGTTCTGGCGACTGCGTGGGTTTCCGTGGGGGTTCGTTCTACGGGCAGCAGCGCGATCTGACGCCGAATTCAATGCGCCAGCCTCTTCCACCTCCAGCGCCAGAACAACCAGAGCGCTTGGGCGACCAACCGCCACCTGCACCACCAACCACGGGGGAGATGGCGAGGCTCACGCCACCTAGCTCCTACAATAGCGCGTACGATGGCACCACTCGTGGAACGACCAAAGCACCGACGATTGGGGATCAGTCAGGAGGGAAACCTTCAGATAGTCCCCTCGCCCAAGGTCCGTCGGGGGGGCCACCCTCAGAGAGGGTTGGCGGCGCTTCGGTTCCCGTTCCAGCGTGCGTTAACGAGCTCGTCGAGCAAATCCAGAATCTGGCATCGGTGGTAGACGGCCTAACAACTACAGTGGAGAACCTCGGAGTCTCAGTCGACCGCCTTGGAGGCAGAGCGGAGCAGGTAGGATTCGAATGGGCTTCCCGGCAGTCTAATCAACCTCAAGATGAGCGCCCCGACGGCAGCACCGAACCGCGCCAACCAGAATATTGCCAGCTGGGTGCCAGCGAGACGCCGCGAAGCGCAACGAGCCAGCGCGACGATCCCGACCCGAGCGCCGAGTGGCGCGACGCGCCCGGCGGCGATCAGGCCCCGATATTTGGGGCGGGAAGCGCGGTCGACGACCAGTTGGCAACTGCAGAGGGCCATGGGGCCTGGCAGCCACTGGAGCTGCCACCGCGGCCAACCGCCGCACCTACAGCGAGGCCCCCGCTGCGGGACGGCGGCCGCGCAACGGTGAACTTGCGCGGGAGGGGGGCGAACCTTTCAACGACGTCGGGGGGGCCAGGGTTGAGCGCTCGACCTGCTGTTCCCGGACAGGTGCAACTATCACCACCAGGGCTGATGCAACTGGGTTTCACCGGCGACCGGGGCGTCCACTCGCAGGGCGCAGGCGCGTCGCGCGGCGGAGCTCTGGCCAGTCGTTTTGCTCGTGACCCCCCACGGCGCGGAGATCCGCGCCAACGAGGGGGCGTTCGCGGGCGTCGGGGGGGGGGGGGGGGGCGCCTTTCGATCGATCCCGTAGCTGCAATGATTCCAGCTGCCCGTCAGGGGGGTTCTTTTCGAAGGGCGCGCGGGGCCTGCAAACTCTGCGGCGCAAGCCGCCCATCCAATGATGGGTCGCGTCGGCGCCGCGATGCCCTGGCTGCGCGCGCGGGCGCAGTCCCTGGAGGCAGCGCGGTAGCAGTCTGCGCGGGCATCAACTACGAGGGCGCGCTCTGGCACAGCCGGGCGGCGAAACCCGCGGCAGCCGCGAGGCGGCGGCCGGACCTCCATCGCAGCGTGCTCGGCAGCGCCGGGGCCTGCCAGACCCGGCGAACGGCGACCTCAAGGACGAGCCTCGGCAGCATCAGAAGTATCATGCCGAGAATGCCTCGCGGCGAGGTGCCTCTCTACGTCGCCGACGGCGCCGTCGTCGGTCGAGCGCGCCCCTGGGCGCGCGCGCCGCGGGCTCGAGAGGGCCTCATGAGCCGACGCCCCGGCCAGGAGGACATGTGACCAAGGATCCATGCCAGTTATTCCCGGTGTTATCAGCGAGGCCAGATGACACAGCATCTTCGCGCGACGCGGGCGCGCAGACTTCTGGGCCAGGAGGCTGCTGGGGGCCAGCGGGCAAGATTGCAGGACAGACATTGCGGCGGGCACCCCTGATGCGCGCCGCCCAGCTGGGCGCGCAGAGCGAGGCCCCCGAAGCAGTCCAGCATCTGCTAGCCCAGGTAGACAACGACCGCGCCAATTTCGCGAACGCAATCACCTTTCGCCTGCGTGTCGACCAGAGCTCCGAGTCCGTGAACGACGAACTCAGCCACTGCTGCAAGTGCCGCGGCACGCGCGAGACGTCGACCGCTGGGCGCGAGCCGAACGGGGGCGCCGCGGCCTCATCAGCCGTCGGCATCTTGAAACGCAGGGCCAGGCACTTTCTGAGCGGGGGCAGACTCCCGACCGCCTGGCGGGGGGCGGCGACTCCCGCTGCAGCCCGGCTTTGCAGGGCAGACGCAGGGCTCGGCGATCATTCCCGGATGCCTTCCGGCGCGAGGGCGATGCTGGTGCGCGACCCACCTCCGAGGAACATGTTCTCGCCCCGGCGCTGGAGTTGCGAGGCCTTCTGCGACGCGAGAGGCAGCTGCGTGCCCAGCCCGCGCGGCCGTTCGCCGCGAGAGGCGGCGGCTGGGGCCCCGCAGTTTGGTCGGGGGAGGGGGTCTCAGATCGCCGCCGCCTCCACCAGCGGCGCAGGGGCCAGTGCTCGACGCACTTGCTGACGGACCTCCGCTGGCTGACGAGGCCGATGATGACCCTGCGCGCCATCTTCGAGAAGGTCATGCGCGGCCGCCGCCCGCGGCCGCGAATGCGGCGGCAGCTTCGGGCGAGGTTCGGCGCGAGAGCGAGGCGACGTCCTTGAGCGTCGTCTCGAAGTACCCACATGCGCGCCTCGCTCTGACCGAGGCGACCGCTCGGGGATCAGCGGGCCGAGATTGTTCGCTTGTTGGCGACGAAGCCCCTGGCGAGGACGACCAGCTCTTCGAGGGCTGCAGCCCTAATTTCTCCGACCACGACGGCGTCGCCATCGGTCCAGACTTGGTCGATGAGCGCGAGCGCTATGGCGACGACAGCAACTGCGCCGAGCACCAGAGCGAGCAGGCGGACGACTTCCAGAACGCCACGGGGGCCGATCTTGCCGGGGAAGAGCTCGGCGAACTACCTCGCGAGGCTCGCCGCGGGCGCCGTCTTCGAAGCGACCCGCTTGGCATGGCGAGCTTCGCGCGCCGCGCGTCGTTGCCTGCGCGCTCTGCAATGGCCGCCACTGTCGTGGGGAGCGAGCACTTCGACTGCGCCGATCTCGAGGTGGCCCAGAGCAAAGCTTTCGGCTGGGGCCTCGACGCGTGGATATTGGGCGCATTAGCCGAACGCGGTTCGCCCATGACAGGGGGGCCAGTCCAGGTCGCCACGGAGCTCGAGCGGAAAGACTACGGCAAGAAGCCCGTTCCGATGCTCAGGTCTCGCACTT